ACACACACAAGTAATTTGGAAATGTTTTTTAAGGTTTAGAGAGAAAGCTCGGGGCCAGCCCAGAAGGAGAATGCACGGCTGTCCTAGCTAGCTCTAAGCACTTACAGAGTCTGTTTAAGTAGGCCCTGGTCAGATCTTGTGACAGAAGACAGCCAATGCACACTCTTGCCTTTCTCCTAAGAGCAAACCCAAGAAGACTTGCAGCAGCCTGGGTTTCGTGAGTGGTGTGCAGACATGAAAACATCCACATAGCACAGTGTTTCGTGCTCACCATGGACCCTGCTGTGGTGGCCATGTCCCTGACTCAGATGCTCTGGATGACAGCCCCTCAGCACACTGCTCTGCACAGGAACTGTGCTCAGCTTGAATTAATGTCGTCACTGTGAGCAACTGTCTGCACACGCAAAGGTGCTGCGGACTTGGAGGAGCAGGTGGTTCTCTTCGGCGCTGTGACATCTTTGCTTCCGTAGCCCACATCCTCACTGTCCTCAGTGAAGCCATACTAGAACTCACGTTCATACCACCCCAGGGCCTGTGTGTCTTCTGAATCGGTACAGAAGTCTAGAAGAGAGGGACCCTGTAGCCCAGAGAGGGAAGGACTTTCCCAGGCCATGCAGCTTTGGGTGAAACTTGGCTGGGGCCTCGTGTTTCTTTGTGATCTAAGCTTCCAGGGAAAACAGACAGGCATTTCCTTAGGTCTGTCAGCAAGGCTGACTGACAACGGCCCTGCTTTTTGTAGCTACAATAAATAAACATTTGCCACTAACAAACAAATTTTATATATATGGAGAGAGCGGGGAGAAGAAGAGGGAGAGGGAGAGAAAGAAGGAAGGAGGGAGATGAGAGAGGATATACCAAGCTGGACCCTTCTGGCCTTGGAGGAATCGTAAGCACTGAGCCGTTTGAGTTGTGAGGAAGGTGGTACTTTGTCTCTAACAGGAAAAGTGGCAGGGCTGATGACTTGGTATCTGTTTCTCAGATGCTCTACACTTAAACGTTACAAAAATAGTAATAAGGAAGAAAAGTGGGGAAGTAAGCGGGGAGGCAGGGAGGAAGTGTGACCTTCCTGGATGAAATGATGATATTCTGGACAGGCACTTGTCCTTTCAGACTATTGAGACAATGGTCCCCCCAAAACTGGACTCTGCTCAGGAGCCATCGCCGCCAGCTAAGAGAAGCCAAAGTTGGGGCCAGGGAGGAGCTTGTCTACCGGAAAGGGTTCCCCAAAGGTGTAGAACTGGAGCCCAGATACTGATGTGTCAGTAAAGACAGGACCACTCGTTGATGAGACCTGCTTAGTCTTCATGCCTCTGGCCTTCTATTTAACCCTAGACCTTCAGCAGAACCCCAAGATAGATTGGAGGCATCACTGGACTCTTTATTTGTTCCTCTTCCCAATGAGGCTGCACTAAATAAATCTGTTTGCTGCTTTTCACTAGGACTTATCTGCTGGGGATGAGTGGCTGAGCCTGGCTGGTTGAGCTACCAGAGCCCAGACTCTGATCCTAACAACAGGAAAGAAAAGAAGAGAGTGAGGAGAGAGGGGAGGAGGGGAGGAGGGGAGGAAGCGGAGAGAGAAGGAAGGAGAAAGAAAAAGAAGGAAAAATTTCCGATTGATGGGTAGAACATCACTGGGACCCCGTGCTGTCTCGGAGAGCCTAAAAGATGACCGTCTCTCTGGGGAGAGGGTCAAGGAAGCGAGGCTGACAGAGGTGTGAGCAGGGACAGGGCTTTACCTGCCTCACCTCCACAAGCTTGCCCTGCCCATGTCTCGGAAGGGTGACTTTAGCAGGGCCTCTTGGAAGCTGTGGGACAAGAATGACAGAGATCTGGCAAATAGTGTGTCTGAGGATAGCAGATTCCAGGTCTGGGTCCGGCCTGAGCAACCGTTCTGAAAATTACCCTCTTCTGGTCACCTGACGGACATGTGGAGGGAGGGCGGTTCAATAGGGCTTCTGACTGGCCAGCCTGGAAAGACCTTGACTGCAAGGCCGAGTAGCCTCTGATCAGCTGTCACCTTCTTCCCCACAGAGCATGCATGTTCCTCTGCACAGAGGAGTCCAGCCCAGTGGTGCACTCTGCCCAAACCCACAGGAGCTCACCTGCTAGGGTTCAGTGTGGTGGCCCTGCAGGCAAGCATGGGCAACTGCCAGGTGAGACCCAAGCCAGCCCTCAGCAAGTGAGCCAGCTTATGGTACAGCTTCTGGGTTCAGTTTTCTTGGCTTTGTGACCTGTCCGCTGGAACACAGGCCCTTCCTTTCATAGCTCGGAAGCTGGGAGACCTTAGGTAAATGAATTGACCTGTCTGAATCTCATCTGTAGAGTGGTGTAGCAACTGTCCATTGCCCATACTGGGCCTACAGGAGGCAGACTGTGGGGGTCACCTAAGCTGGTGCTCCCCAACGGTGGTCAGGGCTTACCACCTGGCTTGGGGACTGATTGGGAATGCCAAGTCTCAGATCACACCATGGACCCACCAACTCAGCTGCTCTGGGGAAGGGCCCAGCAACCTGTTTTAAAGCCCTCCAAGGGCTGGCATTGATTGACTTTGCATGGCACTTTTAAAGGCATGCACTACCCAGCACCACTACCACCCCACCCTGGCTAATGCTCATCTTCTTAAGCAAGAAAGCGACAGAGGTTTTTGTTTCTAAGAAGAATCAAGACTCTAGCATGAATCCCCACCACACTGTTGTCATCCCTGAGATAAGGTCCCCATGACAGACAGGTCAGCTGCCAGAGGGCCTCTGCTGTCCATCAGCCGCAGTTTGCAGAGGGTGAAGATTTCAATGACCAGGATCACAAAGGAGGCCTGCGATGCACATATGGCCTGGGCCTGGCAGCCTGGTCCTCCCTACTCCTGTGCAATATTAACATAATGTCCCTTGCAAAAGTGATTACAGACTCACAGGCAGCAGAATGTCATTCGGTAGCTGCATCCTGCTTCCACCAGCAACGATGACTAAACAAGCTAATTAAATCAGTACAAATTTGCACACAAGCCCGGCAGCTGGGCCCAGAGCACCATGACTGCAGCATAATCCTGCCGTGTCGGGGGACCTGACTAATGGGCTGTGGGGGGCAGCTCACCCCAGGGCACTGCCTGTATAGAGGGCAAGTCTGTCTAGAGAAGGTTGCTTGTACCCTCGGGAAGCCGTTGCCTGTGCCCTGCGAGGGATAAAGGTAACAGGAAGCATAGCCTGCATGTCAGCCTCAAGAGTCTTCCTGTGGAGTTAGCAGAAGGGTCACCAGGCATCACCCCCGTAGTTCCTGGAGAAGGTAACTTGGAGGCCACCTTCAGCAAAGAGTCAGTTCTCTCAGGTGCTATAGTCCCTTGAGCTCTCTTGGCTCAACGTCCCTGTTGATAAATGGAGGTAGTGTCTGGTTTTCACTCTTGATGCTGTGGGGCGAAGTAACAGGTGGCACAGCCAGTGTTCTGTAGACAGAGTCGTCATTACTGCTATTCTTGCTCATGAAATGTCACCATGGACCTTCTGTGGACCAGGACCAGGGATGCAAAGCCCGGGATGTCCCTATCCTTGCCCTCAAGGAACACATAATAAAATGGGGTGACAGATGAGTCATTTGTCCCGTGATAGGTCTGTGAGAGATGAACAGAATGAGGACCCAGGATCCAGTCCTAGAGGGGTTGTGCTGCAGGTGAGTTTTGAAGAGCACATTGTACTCCCACAATGGCCCAGTCCTGAAGCTGGGGTCCCCTAGATTCCTGCTGCCCAGGATAGAAGCTGGCAAATCTTGGCCCCAAAGTATAGTAGCAGTGATGTTCTGTAAGGCAGGGGAAGGGCAGTCTCCAGGATAGAGAGCATCTCTCTGCCAGGGGGACTTCCTAAGCCCTCCTACAGCTGTGTAAGAGAGGAGGGGCCTCCAACCAGCTCACCGCATCCCAGAATAGCCTTGTCCTAGGCAGTGTTGTCACAGCGGCAGCATCCTACAGTGTTAATGACCTGATGTCTGTCATTTAAATCCCTCACTGGGGAAAAAAAAAATGTAAAATTTCTGTCATGGAAAGCCAGCACCTTTGGCCACTGACAGGAATGTGTAGATGAAATGAAAACTCCACCAGGTCACATGCTACCGGCCAGGAGCTGTCACTTCCTGCAGACTCAGGGGAGCGGGGATAGGGTGGGGGACAGGGAAGCTAGAAAACTGGCAGGTGTTGGAGGAGATGTTCATCTTCACCCTGTCCCTGGGGAGGTTTTCTTCTGTATAGCCACATGAGGAACTGAGGAGGGATGCAGCTCTCCCTGGTCACTTCTGCAGCCATTGGTAAGGGTGTGTGCACTGCCTCTGTTCTTGTACCCCACAGGGGGTAATCACCCACCCCCTGGCCCCATGCTTCGGGAACTGCTGGCCACGGTAACCTCGGCAGCCATGTTCTTTCCAGTCCTCTGAATTCCCTCTTTACATGGTAGAATTGACCCAATGTGACTGTCAGGTCACTGCACAGGTCCCAGGAAGTGCTCTGCACAGCCCCAGTGCCCCTAGCGTGGCTCCGTAGGCAGAGCTGTGGAGAATGGCTGGCACACTCTGATGTAACCCTGTATCTCCTGGCCATGTGACCATCTGAAGGAAGTCATATGAGCTGTGAGCCCCAGTGTCCCTCATCAGACTCTCACATGCTGTGAGAATTAAACAGAAACTGATTCCCTGTGTGTGCCAATTCTTGCTGCTTTCATAGAATTCGCTCCACAAATGGTCAGACCCTTGTATTTATCCATTTAATTTTTATCTTATAATCAACCTTCACACAGAATGTAAGGATCGAAATTAAGCATGGGGATGGGGTGGTGGTGGTGAAGTAATGCTGAAGGAGTTTAAGAGCTCTGTTTTCCAGTGCTCCCCACCGTGACCTCACCTGAGGCTACAGAATCTCCATGAACCAAGAAGGAGGGCACAGGGGTTGGACTGAGGGGGAAGCCAGGCCCTGGAATGTCCTGAGCCATTTTCCATTGCTGTAACAAAATACCCAAGGCCAGGTACTTGATAAGGAAATGATATTTATTTAGCTCAGAAGTCCCAACAGCAGGCCACCAGCTCTGGCTTGTCACCTCCTGTTGCTTGAGTTTTCCTGCCTGGCCCACAGTCAGGACAAATCTCTCTCACCCGCCAGTCCCAAGCCGCTCAAACCCGATCAAGTAAACACAGAGACTTATATTGGTTACAAACTGTATGGCCGTGGCAGGCTTCTTGCTAACTGTTCTTACAGCTTAAATTAATCCATTTCTATTAATCTATACCTTGCCACGTGGCTTGTGGCTTACCGGTACTTTACATCTTCCTTGTCCTGATGGCGGCTGGCAGTGTCTCCCCCACTCAGCCTTCCACTTCCCAGCTCTATCCTCCTCCTTGTCCCGCCTACACTTCCTGCCTAGCCACGGGCCAATCAGTGATTTATTCATTGACCAATCAGCAACACATTTGACATACAGACCATCCCACAGCACCTCCCCTTTTCTTTTCTTAAAAAGGAAGGTTTTAACCTTTACACATCTCCAAAGTCAGCTTGGTATATTTGGGAATTTGGGCGTAGCTTCTCTTACTACTTCCTGCTGGAGGGGGGCGCTGTATCTTCTGGGGAAACAAAGAAAATTTTAGGATCATGGAGTAGTCCGTGAGGCTGTATCATCTGAGCCAGTTGCCTTGAAACGGTTCTGGATGTTGGATCATCTGGGCCATGGTGTCATCGGAGACCTTTCAGGTGGTCTTGGCTGGTCAAACCTGATGTGTCTTAATCTGGAACAAATCCATAGCCTCTGGCTTTCTGTGGAAACAAAAGCAGAGTCTCCTTTCCAAAGTAACATATCCTTATATCCAAATTTTGAAGTCAAAGTATCTTTAAAATATACATACTGGTTTAACTCAGCTTCCTTTACAATCAAATATCTCTCTGTAGTTAAGAATCCCAAAGACAACACAATCCAGACTCTCTGTGTAATAGTCATCTCTACGTGGCTTATTTTTTATATTAATTTTACTGTCTCTTTAAAGACTTTATTTTTTTTTTAAACCATGTATTTGTTTCTATACTGTATATATCACCTTTTTTTTTGTCTCTTTTAAGCCTACGTATATTTTACACACATTTTAAACTATTACATCTGAATCTGTCTTATTATGAATCTGTTGCTTTAAGCTGTAGCAGCTGTGGCTGCTGGCTCCGCCCACCTCAGCTTCCCAACATGGCACGGTATGCTTACCGCCAGCTCTGGGAGCTATCGTGGGTCTATGCTTTTATCCAAGCAGCATGTAGCCCAGAAACCTCTTTTTTTGTTTTGTACTAGCAAAGGCTAAATCCACAATGCAGCTTAATGTGCCACTTGCAGAGGCTTCATTCCCGCCATACGGGGGCAGGTCGAGCGCGCACGCTAGCAACCCGCCAGTAGCTCAAACCGGCAGCTGCCGCTCATTTGAGAGAGACAATTAGGAAGCTGTTTTTAGCTCCATTTTAGAATCTTTTTTCTCAGGTTTTAGGTGGAAACTCTTGCCAGCACGTTGGACGCCATTTGTTGCTAGAGTTTTTCTGCCTGGCCCACAGTCAGGACAAATCTCTCTCACCCGCCAGTCCCACGCCGCTCAAACCCGATCAAGTAAACACAGACACTTATATTGGTTACAAACTGTATGGCCGTGGCAGGCTTCTTGCTAACTGTTCTTACAGCTTAAATTAATCCATTTCTATTAATCTATACCTTGCCACGTGGCTTGTGGCTTACCGGTACTTTACATCTTCCTTGTCCTGATGGCGGCTGGCAGTGTCTCCCCCACTCAGCCTTCCACTTCCCAGCTCTATCCTCCTCCTTGTCCCGCCTACACTTCCTGCCTAGCCACGGGCCAATCAGTGATTTATTCATTGACCAATCAGCAACACATTTGACATACAGACCATCCCACAGCAACCTCCTGGCTGATGGCACCACAGAGTTCACATAGCAAGACAGGAAGCCCGAGAGCAGGAAGGGGCTGGTCTTAACTTTTCCATTCAACCTCCTTAAGGAGAACTAACCAAGGTCCCAAGGGATCAAGGCCATGACAGCAAGCACGTCCACCAATCTCCTACCAGGTCCCACCTCTTACTGTTCCCATTACCTACCCTCCTGGGTACCAACCTCCATCACATAAGCCTTGGGGGATACATCCAAACCCCCAGAACAGATGGTGGTCCATCCACCTCCTGCCCCTTGCCAGCCCAGCTAAACTCACTAGGCCCTGGAGGGGGTTGCAGAGACCCCAGCTCCCACCCTGTCACACACATGCCATTGACTGAGGCCCATGTCACAACCTCAACAGACAGAAAAGACAGAACACAGACAGATAGAGACTTGTGAGCACCCGGCAGAGCCTCAGCCCTGGTGCTTGGGGGCGCGGGGGACAGGAGATGCCAACAGGGAACCTGGGAGCCACAGCTACCCATGCTCCAGCCTGGTGCAAACGAGCTGCCTCTCTGTGCCTCGGTTTCCTCCCCTGTAAAATAAAGACAATGTAGTGAGCCATGTAGCAAACCGACTCACAGAGCCTGCTCAGCGCAAGCCCACAGCTGGAGGTGTGTGGTCTCCTAGGGCTCCTGGCTGTCTTTTCGACCTTGCATAGAAACGCAGGAAGGTGGCAGTGGTTCTAGAATCACATCTTTTGTGTTCTGATGAGAAGTCAGCACAACTCTCCAAACCCACAGGAGACCGGCTCCAGGATCCCCACAAATACCCCGATCTCAAGTGTCTGAGCCCTTTCTATGAAATGACACAGTGAGCTCATGGGCCTTACACAGCCTCCTGTGTACCCTGACCTTCTCTTGTAGGTTTATAGTCTCTGACACAGTGTTACTGCTGCATAGGTGACTGCTCTGCTGCGTGGTTTGGGGGACAGTGACAAGAAAACAATCTGCAGCTCCACTACGGGGGCTTTTGTTCAAGGACTTTCTGTTTGCAGTTGGTTAAGTCCAGAGCCGCAGACCCCACAGGAATAAAGGGTGACTGAGCAGCATGTGACCTGGATTAGCAGTTCTTAACCTCCGCTGCTGAACATTCCAGTCAGTCTCGGGAGGAAAATCCCACAGGAAGGCATGCCCCAAGCCAGCTGCCTCAGACTCCCTGGAGGTGACAGCTAGGTGAAAACCTGTGGCTGAAATCCAAAGAACAGGCTTGAGGTCAGACAAGGGGCTGAAATCCAGCCTCTATGACCATCAACATGGCCTTGGACAAGTCACCCACCCACCCAAGTCTTGGATTCCATTGCCCAAAGCAGCAGTAATTCCACACCCTTCCAGTGAGGACACAGAAATTCAAAGAACTGGAAGAAGCAGAGTCTGTGGACAAGCTGGTATTTGCAATATAACACTTAGCCAAGGCAGATCCACTCAGGATCCCAGTATTTTCTTATGCAGTTATTTCTGGGCATTTGCTTGGTGTTTGTTAAGCCTCACCTTGCCATAGGAAAATTGTAAGAGTGCCAGGCACAGCTGCTTCACAAATATCATGAAGTTATTCAAAGCAGGCCTCGCCTGCAAACCCGGATGCTTTCCTGGCTTGGTCTTCCACTGTTATTTTTGGAAGAGGGAGGGAGTCTTTCAATGGAACTGGGCACTAACCCAGATGGAAAGGGAGATAACTTTTGAGAGCCACCCCTTTCCAGAAGCAGCTGCTAGCCTGTTCAGGGGAAGCTGCTTTCAGACCCTGCAAACCTGCCCTGGCTGCAGAGAGCCTTAGCTGATAATCCTTCAGTGCCTACAGGAGGAGAAAGGTGGGATGTTCCGGAATAGACTCAGGAAAACTGGATTCCATGTTCACTAGAGGTGTGGCTGGAAGCAGCTGCTTCTACCTCTCGGAGCCTCGGAGGCCTTCTGTATGATGGCAGTGGCCACCACTACTCATTCACTTCTCTTGTTCCTGTTGTGGCTTTGGGGAGGCTCTGTGTCCCTTTCCTGTGTCCATTGAACATCACCACAGATTGGGTGTTCATTATCGTGTGGTTCTGAGGCTGGGTGTCTAAGCTGCCATCCTGGGCAGCTCCAGGCGGACACCTTGGCTCCTCTTGCAGCCCCAGTGGCTGCTGGCATTGCGTGGCTTGTGGCTGCCTCCAGTCATTACCTCCTTCTCTCCTGCTCTCTTCTCCTCTGGGATGTGGGGAATCACCCAGAAAATCCAGGGTGATCTTATCCCCAGAGCTGTCTTACTCTGTCTTCTGTTGCTATAACTGAATACCAGAGACTTACTCTTTTATAAAGAATAGAGGGGCTTTCATAAAGCAGCTCACTGCTCTGGAGTCTGGAAAGTCCAGAAACATGACACCAGCATTAGGGAGGGGCCTTGTACCACATCATCATCATCATCATCATCATCATCATCATCATCACCATCACATTTCTCTTTTTATGTCCAAGCATTCTGGTACATACACACCCAGGTTGAGTGTCCCTAGCTCAAAACGGTTGGCAAATTTTGATCTTGGATTTCTGGCTTTGGGAATATTTGCCTACATGTTCAGCTATCTCAGGAAAGGGGCCAACGTTTAAATATGAATTCAACTTTTTTCAAAATATACCTCATACAGAGCCTGGAGATGATTTTATCCAATTGCTTTGCTGCACCTGCTTTGACTGAGACCGTGCAGGAAGCCAGGCGTACGGCTCTCCATCTGTGAAGTGACGTCAATGCTCCTTTCAGGTTTGGGAGGATTTGGGGATTTGGGGATTTGGGGCTTTCAGATTTGGGATCACCTCATTTACAGGCTTACAACCCCTCCCCATGAATGTGACCACAAATACAAAGAAACCAAGGGCAGCAGAGAAGAATGGGGCAGGGAGTGTTAGCGTCAAAGGGAAACGCTGCAGGGCCCAGGACTCCGGGGTTAGCCTTGGCCCCGACTGAAGTATCTCTTGGAAGATGGGAAGCAGAGAGAAGAGGGACCTCAGGGCAGCTGAGCACACCTCATCTGCAGAGAGGATGTAAGCGAGCCTCCAGCCCAATCCCCCAGAGCTGTGCACCTCCCTCCCCCAGGGCCAACTGCTGTGACCCACCCCCAGACAGCTAGGCTAGTCTCCCAGGCTCCCACCTCATTCTCATCACAGCGATCACAGAAAATTCCTAAGCATTCTGCCCAGCCCTCAGCCCTAGGCCCACCTCCACCCCAGGTCCCAGGTAAACCTTCCTCATTTGGCTCCTGCCCACTGTCTAAGACCTCCTGACTGCTCTCTGGACACTGGATTTTCCCCTAGCTCCTCCTCTAGCAAAATCTACCCATCTATCAGCTAACACAAATTATAGGAGAAACTGGATTCCGGCCACATCTGCCCGATGTGTTAATGAGTTTTATGTCACCATGGCTGCCAAAAAGCATGGTGGATGGAAAAGGGCATGGAGGATGGAGGAGTGCGTGGTGGATGGAGGAGGGCATGGAGGATGGAGGGGGCACGGAGGATGGAGGAGGGCGTGGAGGATAGAGGAGGGCATGGAGGGTGGAGGAGGGCATGAAGGATGGAGGAGGGCATGGAGGATGGAGGAGGGCATGGTGGATGGTGGCACACCAGATTAATCTACATGGCACTTCCTTGGTTTCTGTGATGGGCATGCTACAAACAGGAATCGGCAGAGCCAGCACTTCAACTGAATTAAACCTACTTTTCTCAGTAAAGTGAAAAATAAGATCGATTTTGAGAGCACAGCGCCCCTGAGATTTTGAAAAGCACAAATTGTCCTAAGTCAGCACAGGTGTCCTTGTAATGAGGACAGAGGGACAGCAGCATTTCTCCATCTGTCCACAGGCAGGAGTCGCCTGGGATCTGTGAAATGAATGTAGATTCTGGTGCCACTAGTCTGGGGTAGGGCCTGAAGTTACGCATTTCTTTTTTTGCTTGTTTTGTTTTTCAAGACAGGGTTTCTCTGTGTAATAGTCCTGGCTATCCTGGAACAAGTTCTGCGTTTCTCACAAGCTTGGCCAACATTCCACGTCCCTGGAGTAGCAGGGCTCCAGGACATTCCTATCACATGAGAGAGCCCAACTGCCCAGGTTAGCCATGTGCAGAGGTGATGCCCCACCCATCCTGCCAAAGGGACATCTTCTGGATCATTCGAGTGTTCTCAGGGACCTTCTTGCCTCGTGTTGCCACCAGCACTAACTAGAAAGTCCTTTTGTTTGGCATGCATCTCTCCTCAGGTTAGGTCAAGGAAAGGGAAGTATGATCACGCCTGGGAGGCGTGGGGTGAGATGGGGTGAGGGTGGAGGGGCAGGGCTTAGCTATTCTAGCCTTTGTAGATGCTTTCTCCCTGACCCAGAATGAATCATCTCACCAGGACCAAGATGGGGGAGAAACTCACAATGGATGGAAAGGCTTAGGTTGTGACTGACGACCTCAGTCACGAACTTTAACTTGGAAATGGGCTGCTTCCAGCCTTCTTTGTGTTCGAGCTCATGTTTCCAGCCGGCATATTATTTGTGCCAGCACAGAAGGAACACCCTTTGCCTTTGCAGGTCGGGAATCTCAGAGGGAGCAGAAGCAACTGGAGCAGGAAAGGAGACCTTGCGAGTGCCTTACCCCCGCCTTGTAAGCAGGAAGTGCATGTGGGAACACAGGATCCCCCTGCTTTGTTTTGCATCCCTAGGCTTCTCAATCCTATCAGCTGGTGAGACAGGATTCTCAGAGGCTCCCACCTGTCTAAACCTACCAGCCTTGGTGACACGGCACGGCCTGTGTGGGTTAGGGGCAACTGGTGCTATAAGCTACAAGGAAGGATCCTCTCGTACATACCCTTCCGCCCAGCCCTCTCCTGATACCTCCCTAACGCACTATTTATCAGAGTCAGGAAGAATAGCGAGGTCACCTCTACAGAGCACCCTGGGACAAGAGAAGCAGGGAAGAGATGGAATGCCCAGTCCCAGGGGCCTGGCTGCTGAAGTTTTCAAAATACCAGCTCCAGAAGGGGCAAGAGGGTGTAGTTTGGGGATTGTTCAGTGTAGGTACACTTAAATGGTGAAAAGTTTGGGATGTGAAGTTCAAGAGAGATCCTGAAACAGATTACGGGGTAGTAAGGTATTCATCCGAAGCATTTTTAACTCCATGGACAGACAGAGAAGCAACATGGTGGGCCTCTGACAGAAGATCAGAATTCCCTGCTGTGTAGCAGCTTCCTGCTTAGACTGGGTTGGTGGGAACTGAACCCAGTTCAGTTGTTTATTTTTAGTATCCATTTCTGACTTTAATACATGCCAATTTGAGCCTACAAGAGATGGGCCTGAACAGTCACACACCAAAATCTTTAAATGTGTATTTTTTGCCCACAGACATGTCCCCACAGTACACATTGTGTGGCATCTGCACCAGTCAGCCGGTATAGAGCATAGACTGAATGGTAGTGTGTGTGGTACAGTGGGTGACAGGAAACTACAACCACACCAGTGAGGTTGACTGTGCGATGGCCACTTTGCTCAGTGCTTCGTGTGCAGGAGGACCTGGCAGAATGTTCCAAAGTCTCCGTCTCTACGTCTGCTTTACCATTCTCAAGTGACAAACCCTCACAGTCTAGCAAAATGTCACACACTTGGGAGTCTGAGGGTTCAAAGAGGGCACGTGTATAAAGTGCAGGAAGGACATTCATTGGTTTTTGACACAAAAAAATCCTAATACCAGCAAATATACTTAATTGGTATGCACAGGTCTCTGCCATCTAGAAAGGCCCTGAATCTGTCCCACGCAGGACCGTGACTTCTGTGCCCACTCCTGCTCCACCCAGTTTCCCCCATTTTCCTTTTCCTCTCCTCTCTTTTGTTACTAAGGTTCCAGGGGTGGAACCCAGGGCCCTGCATAGATTATTGTTTAGTTACTGCCAGCCCGGTCATTCTCTTCTTAGTAACCGATCCTAACTTTCACACTCTGCTCCAGGTCAAAACTCAGATTTGAGACACAAAACACCCCAAACCTTATCAGTGCCACCATCAGAATCCGAGGGGATCCAGCTTCTCACTAAGCCATGACTAGCGGTCCCTCCACCTGTGGCTCCGGCCTCCATCCTCATCCATAGACACGCATTTGCAAGCAGGTGTCTGTGCACATGTGGATGTAGGATGTAGAGGCAGTGGTTTGCATCAAGTTTCTCCTTTGATGGTTCTCTCTCTCTCTCTCTCTCTCTCTCTCTCTCTCTCTCTCTCTCCCTCTCCCTCTCCCTCTCTCTCTCTCTCTCTCTCTCCTAAACCTAGAGCTCCCTGATTTGTCTAGGCTGGCTCACCAATGAGCTCCTGGAACACACTTGTCTCTGCCCCCGCCCCACCCGCAGAGGTGTTACAGACTTACAGATGTATCCTGCTGCTATACCTGACTATTTCTTAGGCGGGGGCTGGGGATCTGAACTCAGGTCCTTTTTTTCTGCACAGTAGGCTCTTTACCGACAGAGCAATCTCCTCAAGCTCAGAATCCTCTCTGGCCTTCCACATCACTCTGAAAATACCATCTACACTTTCACCCAAGCACACAGTTCTGCATGACCTAGGGTTATGGGCTGAATTGTGTCCCTGGACAAACTCATATGTTGAAGCCTTAATTCCCAATGTGATTGTATTTGGAGAAATGCCCTTAAAGGTCCTTGAGGAGGTCAACGACCAAATAGTTGCTTCTTCCTGAATCTCACATACCAGCTGTTCCCTTCATTGCATAATGGACAATGCATCATATGTGTTGAGTGGCTGAACAATCAGTAGGCATTAGTCATGCTTTTTGACACAGGTGGACATATATGCACATGTGCATACATGTGGCATGAATGCATATTTGGGAAGAACTGTAGTTTGGTTGTTGAGTGTCCCACAGAGCTCACGTGTTACAGCCTTGATCCCCAGGCTGGTACTGTTGAGAGGAATGTCAGCTTTGAGAGGTGGGATAACTCTGTGTTATTAGGGGCATGCATGACCTTGAATGTTGTTGTGGGATCTACATGCCATTCTCTCCTTATTTTTTGTTTCTCAGCAACAAGGTTGAATGGTTTGCCTCTGCCACACGCTTCTGTCTTGGTGTATTGCCTCACCTGACCCAAAAGCAATAGAACCACTGGATCATGGACCCCAATCTGGCTCCAAATGCAAGCCATAATAAATGTTTTCTCTTTATAAGTTGATTGTCTAAGGTATTTTATTATAATACTGGAACACTTGCTGATATACACATGCAAATATATTCACCTCTGTATACCTATGTCCTCTTCTATATCAGCATCTTCATCTATTTATTTCTGGCTCTGTCTGCCTGAGGAACCCTGGTAGAAAAGCAATGTCGTATTTGAAGAGACACACACCCAGGGTCATTCAGCTCCCAGGTTTGTCAGAGTCCAGATTCCTAGTTGTGCCAGGTTGCCTCAATGGTTACTTTTAATTGTCAACTCAACACAATCTAGACTCAGCTGGGAAACTGCCCTTTGGCCATGTCTAGGGGACATTTCTTGATTATATTAATTGAGATAGAAAGACCTGCCCACTGTGGGCAGCAACTTTCCCTAGGAGGAGGGATTCTGAACTGTATGCAAGTGAAGAAAGTGAGCTAATCACTGGCATTTATTTCCTGTCTGTTCTTGACTGTGGGTGTGGCCAGCTGCTTCAGGTTCCTGCCACCTTGACTTTTCAATGATGGATTATATTCTGGAATTGTAAGCTAAAGAGACCCTTTCTCCCTTGAGCTGCTTTTGTGGGGTATTTTATCAAAGCAACAGGAGAAGAAACCAGACAACTGCCACTTGGAATTTCAGGTATTAACCATAGAGGAGAGTCCAAGAATTTTAGAGAGAGTCGGATCTTCAAGATTTTCTTGCCCAGAATCCACAAAAATTGTGCCACCACCACTCTTCCGGCTCTTTGGACAGACATCATTAATAGATCACAGAATGTCCTCCCAATGAATTTCCAAGTCCTTCTTAGTTTTTCACAAAGTCTCAGCTACTTAAATGAAGTGACCCATCATCCCAGAGAAGAATCGGTCTAATCAGTTTTGCACTGATAGTCTAAAACCAAGAGAAATGTTTGTTTTGTTTTGTTTTTCTCAAGTTATAAAGCATGCCGCCAGGACTGGACACCCAGCTTGTGTTCAGATACAGAGGAAAACGCAGCCATCACTCTGGATATTAAATCAGATCAGAAGTTAATAGCTTATGACCTTTCGTTACTTCTGACTATTTTGAGAGATTGTGATCTTTTAAGCCAAAATCTATAAAATGAGGGACAGGAATTAGATGAATACCAGCTGCCAGCAAGGTACCAAATAGAGCCAACTGTAGTTGGGAGACCAAGAGGCAATCCCTGCCCTTGGGACCAAGAGATAATTACGAAAAACAGAAATGGAGAGAATAGCCTGAGTGGTAAGAAGTGGGGGCTGTGGTAGCAATCTTCAAAGCCCATAAGTACTGAAGGAACTGGTGCCCCCTCCAAAAGCTATCCCCACTTTTATATCTGCAAACAGAACCCCAGTAACCTCAGGTGAGGCAACCCCATCCCTAGCTCAATACTGAATCGAATCCTGATTCAAATATGTAATCTCCTCACAGAGAATGAGAAAAGGCATGTGACCTGATCTGACTAGCTAGTCCTCCTGTGGAACTCTGGGTAATTCACTCACTTGCAAAAGGAAAGGCATCAAAAAGTCATTGTTCTCACTTGCAATCAGAAGCATTCAGACTGGCATGAAAGGTGCCTTCCCCCCTCCCACCCAGAGATGGAAGTGAGCTAGAGAAAGCTCCAGCATTTTCCAACTCATAGATGTCACTCTGACCCTTTCAGTTGTGAGGTAAAAGAACCGGACCCTTAGGCAAAGGCCTCTACCTCAGCCCAAATGTATTCCTGGTATCTGAGCCCCAACTCTGTCAAGGCATTGTTTTCTTTCATGTGAATGTGTTCCCTTCGTTGAAAAAAAAAAAGCAAAACAAAATAAAATGAATCTATCTGTTCTTCCAAGAACGTGGCAGTGTGTTATTATGGGAGAACAGATGTTAAGATGTTAAGAATAGATATCTAGTATAGGAATGTAACTCAGGACAACTGGGAGAGGGGGAGAAGGGGGGTTTCTAAGAGCAATCTCACTATAGTGCAGGACTGCAAGGCCAGAGGGGCAGGGAAGGGATGTGGATGGAAACACCCAGGACCTCCATGCTGTCTCTGTGGGGTTGATAGGGCCATCCTCCGACTAAGGTCTATTAACACTAAGGGCAGATGCATTTTGCCGGGATAGCTGGACAGTGTGGCTGCCATGTCTACTCAGGGTAGGAGAGGGAAGGCCTCTCTCCAGACGGCAGGACTGGTCACTTCCTCGCCTTGTAAACAGAGTTCTGCAATGGGTGCTTTGGAACCCTCAGAGGCAACTGGGAAAACCTGTTCCTGGAGTGTCAGGAAGGAGGACAGGAGGGCCTGGCAGGGGAGCAAAGGCTGTTTCTACCCTGTCCTGTTCCACTGGGTGTGGCTTAGAGTAAACCCCTTTCAGCAAAGCCAAGTCAGCCTACCCATAATTCACCGGGGCAAAGACACCATTGCTGACAACTGGAAGTGAAGAAAGAGCCAGTTCACTTGGCACCATTTGAATGGCATGGGCCATGCTGCCATAAGAAAGTCTGGACCTCCAAGGTGTAGGGCTCCAAGAGCTACCTATGCCTAGGTATTGGTGCATTCTACACATCACCAGTTCTGTGCTTTGGAATAAGATGAAGCCCTTTTACCCGGTTCCCACAAACCAAGAAAGACTCAGCTGACCTGTGTTACTCTGCAAAATTTTACATCTTAGATCAGATGGCGATTGACTGGCTTATCCATGTCTAGCAACACAGTAGTGCATCAGGCAGGAGCCAGGCCCCAGGCCCCTGCTCCCCGCTTGCTCTGCCTTGTCAGCACGTTGTGACATAATGTGGAAAGCAGAATGCCAGGGAGACAGCACACCAGGAACAGCTCTCCATTCTTTATAGATCCCCCCTGATCCTCACACCCTCTCCATGGGCTGGGCATAGCTCAGTTTTACAGAAACCAGAGAGGTTTAACCAGTTTCGTGCCCTAACACCCATGATGGCCACTCCATCAGCCAGAACAAGGGGTGGGGTGGGAGGAATGTGAACCTTCTCCCTCTGAGAACAGGAGGCAAACCTCACTGGTCACATGGCCACCGGGTTCCAAGGAAGACTGAGAAGTGGAAAGTCTATGGGCATGTGCTGTGCAGCTGGCTGAATCACCACTTGCCTGGGGTGAAGGCTCGCCCAGACTGCTGCGATGATTTGAAGCACCGTTCAAGACGCACCATGTCGTGACTTGTGCCGGTACAGCCAACCCGCAAGACTCAGTTTACCTTCACTGAGAAGATGCTCCTGCTTCTCCATGTAACTAGGTTCATCAGCCCCTCCCTATACGGGGCTCCTGGGATTTCTTCTATTTCAGCCCTTACTCTGCATTATTATGGGATGCATCCCTAGTCCCACACACACTTACAAGTATAGTTTGTTTGGCCCACACAGTATTTAAAAAAGAAAAGAGGCGCAAACTTCCAGCCGTAGGCTGAGGAGATAGCCCAGTCTGCACTGTATCTGCCTTGCAACCGTGAAGGCTGAATCCCTGGAATCCACATTAGAAAGGCCAGGCACGATGATGTCGGGTTCCAGCACTGGGAAGGCAGAGACAGAAAGGTTGCTGGGGCTCTCTGGCGGGTTGAAAGAGCAATCTCCAGGCTAGTGGGAGAGCCTGTCTCAAAGCAGGCAAACAAACAAACACAAGCAAACAAAACAAACCAGCAAGGTGCATGGGAGCCAGCAAGGTGGCTCTGGGTAAATACCCTTGTTGTTCAAGTCCGAGATACTGAGTTTCATCCCAGAACCCATGTAAAGGTGGAAAGAGAGAATCAACTCCACAAAAGTGCCCTCAGACCTCCACACACATGCTATGGCATGCATACCCATACATGCATACATAGAGTAATAATAAATTTAAAGAAATTTAAAAGCGAATGGTACCTGAGGAATGATACCCAGAATTGACCTCTTGCCGGGCAGTGGTGGTGCACGCCTTTAATCCCAGCACTCAAGAGTCAGAGGCAGGCAGCTCTCTGTGAGTTCGAGGCCAGCCTGGTCTACAGAGTGAGTTCCAGGACATCCAGGGCTACACAGAGAAACCCTGTCTTGAAAAACAAAACCAAAACAAACAGAGTTGCCCTCTGGCCTCCATGTACACTCACACACTTGTGTACCCATACTCCTCTTGTGCACCTTCACACACACACACACACACACACACACACACACACACAGAGAGAGAGAGAGAGAGAGAGAGAGAGAGAGAGAGAGAGAGAGAGAGAGAGAGAGCTGTACTTATGAACCTAAGGTAAAGAAACCCCAGAGTCACTCTGGCATAGTGACAGTCAGCTGAGGCTGAGCAATGCCTTAATCCCTAGACAGCATGGGCACTCCATTCCCATGGTGTCTGCCACCCCCTAGAATCTCACACCCTACATACTTCATGTTTCTTTTGCCCGCCCAGTCCTAGAAAAGAACCCCTCAACCAGGCTTCCTTGAGAGCAGGGTGGGCCTCGCCTGGGGGCACTTGACACACAGTGGGTGTGCAGAAGCCAGAAGCGTTGGGTGTGTGAGCTGTAGCTGCCGTGGCAGGAAAGGAAGCAAGGATTCTAAAGAAGTGCTTGCATCCTCTATTTGGATACCAGGCCATTGAAACAACGGTCCCTAAGAAATTGGAGTTTCCCCAGGAGTCTCAGTCTGGAGGAAGGTAGAGGCTGATGCTCAGTGCTGGCCAGAGGGGGAACTTGTCACCAGAGAAAGAGTTCGCTCAGTTCTGACTAGTGCCAGATCATTTTGCAAGACCAGAGAGGAGAAATGATGGGCCATGATGGATGGGAGCCTGCTTGTTCAGGATTTCATACTTCTTGCACCCTATTCAGTCCTCAACTTCTTGTTGGGACCCCAAAGGTGGACTTGGTAGGGGGGAGTCACTGTTCCTCCTCTATGTGGCCACTCTTTTACTGTTACCTATCTGTTTAACCTTGGGCCTGTTGAGGACAGGTGGCTGAACCAGCATGTTAGGGCTGCCAGGGCCCAGGCTCTGACCCCAACAACTCGGGTAACAATGAGGCTTTTAGGCTGGAAGGATTTATCCAGACAAATGCCAGGCAGAAGAAGAATCCCCCCAAAATATGGGAGCCACTTTGCTGATCCCAAAAGGGCCCCCCATGTGGATGACAGCTGAAGTTGAGGGGGTTGCTACAGATGATGGCGAGGGACTCTCCCTGATAGAAGAACTTAGAGGTGAAATGTGGGACTGTGGCCTGCTCAAGGCTCGCCTCCATTGTGGAAAAGCCATTGAGGTAATGTAAGAGGATCTGAAAGGCCTGGTTCATCTGGGGCCTTGGGGCTGAGGTTCCTACTCCAGGTGCTGATTGCCTAATGAGCCCCAGTGTGGACAGATAGCTGTGGTAAACAAGGCAGTGACTCTGGTTTCCTGTCATAGGATCCAGTCCCATCCATCCCCCTAGGTGAGACCTCTGGGTAGTGCCCCGCCTTTCCTGTCTCTGGCTAGGGATAACTGTGCCAGGTTGCATTGTGCTTTCTGATCTTGGGACATGGGGACAGGCTTTCTTTCCTGTCACAGATAGGGAAAGAGTGGAAGAAAGACTTTCTAACAAACACCTGCATATCTATGCTTCAACAGAATCGGGGGTGGGGGGCGGGGGCAGCAGGATAGGAGGCCTGGCAGCCTCTGGAACCAGGCCAAGAAGAGCAACAGGCCAGAGGCTGACTTTTGTCTAGTGACCTCTTATGGTATTGCTGAATCATGGGGCCTTTTGTAGTACGGAACTGGGAGGGACCCGTTCTCAGAATCCCCCATCCCTGTCTGTCCAGGCACTGGGCATTCACTTTCTGCTGACATTTGACTGATGTCATCCTTTCTCTCTAGTCAACAGGCCACCTCCAGGCCAAGGTGACTGTGACCTCTGACTCTGCAAGCTGCCACGGGCAGGCGCTGCGCTGCGCTTTCCCGGGGTGAAGCTTCTCATTTCCCACTGCCATCACTCAGATTAGTGCTGACAGTCAGAAATGGGCCAGAACAGACAGCAGACAAGCTGGCCAGAGAGCGGGGAGTGAAGAAGCAATAAGGGGATGCAGAGGGAGGACTCACTCCGAAGTGCTCAAACGGAACCACACAACTGCCCCAGAAGCTACCAGAAGCAGCCTCGGCTATTAATAGCCCTGCGCGCTGGAGCTGTGCTGCAGCATTTCTGATGCGCACTGAGGATCTCCAGTGAGAAGCACCTCAGAGGCTCTGACTTGCAAATGCATGAACTGGATGTTTTGTTTGTTTATTTTGGGGGTGGGGGTGGGTGCTCAGGTCTGTGCCTCAATGCACATCATTCCTGGGTGGCTCTGTTACCAGATTTGTAAAGTTCAGAGCCCAGGTCCTCACATACTAGGTTCAGCCACCTGTCCTCAATAGGCCAATTAAATAGGTGATCATGAAAAGCAGAGGAAAAAGAGATTTACCCAGTGTTGGAAGAGAAGCAAAGAGGCCCAGGGGCCTGTTCTGTCCCAGACTCCATCGCCAGGGTCCTGACACGAGACTGTGGATTAAACAGAGGTCAACAGGGATACATATTTAAGCAGTCCTGGTCAAATGAGGTCCTGCCCATCGCAGTCCATCCTTGTCTCATCTCTGGTCTTACAAAATGGCCTGGCAAATAGTCAGAACTGTGAGAAATCGCTTTCTGAGAGCCAAACTCCCCCTCTGGCCTGCGCCATGCTTCAGTCCATGCCTTCCTCCAGACTGAGACTCCCAGGGGAACTCGGATTTTTTAGGGACCACTGTTTCGATGGCCTGCTAGGCAAAGGGAGCGTCAATTTAGATTAGTCAGTAATATTTATTCCTGCCAGACCGGGTGCACTGCCCTGCTCACCTCTAAAACTAGGCTGCCCTGTGATCTGGGAATGGTATTTCAGGATAAAATACAAGATAAAAAAACCGTCTCTTAGACCTTTCCTGAGTGCAGTTTAAATAATCACCTAACCCCAATGGTACTATGCTCCTAGGGGAGCAGTTTTAAATTTGTGGGTTCATGTTCCTGCACAGAGTAGAAAATGGAGGAAAAAAATTAAAAAGCCATTAGGATCTTTTCAAGCCTCAGAGCAGAGTTTTTGTGCCTGCGAGGCATGTCCAGTTCCTCTGTCCCCGGTGTAACAGCTTTGAGGGGGAAAATCTAGATTCCCAATGCGAGATTCAGCCACCAATATGCCAATTAAAGAGACAAGGAACAGTGAAAAGCAGAAAAAGGAAACTTACTCAATATGGCCACGTTGGGGAGAAGAGTAAAAAGAGGGACCATGGAAGGTCCCCAGGTGGACACCAGCACGCTTACAGGTCACTAGGCATGGCCTCATCCCTTCCAACCAGCAGCTTCTAAAATCAAAAGCCGAAACTTCGGAACTCTTCTTTGCTGGACCCTGAGACCCTAATGCCCACTGCCCCTGCAGAGGTAGGAAGTTCTTCTGTTCATGGTGAGGTAAGAGAACAGGGCCAGAGAGAGACGTTCCAACGGAATCAAGATTAACATGTAAGAGGAACTAATGGCAGGGACCCTGCCCCCAACCTGTAACAAACTAAGCATCCAGCAGTCTCTAACAGAAAGAGGAGAAGGGTGCAGGACACAGGACTCATAACGGGGTTTTCTAGCTTCCGACCTTCCCAAGCTCTCAGGCACTTCCACTCTCGGGGGCACCTTTTGCTTGTGTTAATAGATGGTCTCTGTTTCTACCGTTACCCATGTGACCTCAGTTCAGGTCTTCGTTCTGGGACACAAGAACCAGATGTCACTCGGCAAGTGCCTTCTGGACTCCAATACGTACCTAGAACCCAGGCTTAGGGAAAATGGGCTGAAGATACCTGTCTCCGTTAGAATGTGGGCCTGCCTCTAAGACACACTCAGAGGCCAAACTCTACCACCTGAGGAAACCAGACCACACCCCAACCGCCTGCAGCTCTTTCTTGTGCTGTGAGTAGCTTCGTGACCCCTGATTTATCCAGTTCCTGGATCCTCTGTGCTCCTTGTCACTCAGCCTATCCCAGACAAATCACATGGTGTCCTGCCACCCCATGAAAGGATATGAGCCAGATACCATGATCCAAAACTTGCCACGTACCACAATAAACTGCTTAGGACCTCAAATTTCACCATTCTCTTAATTTTCCCAAATCTATGCCAGAAGTCCAGAGCTCTTCAACAGAATCTTGTGTAGAGCTGTTTCCTTCCAGGGGTCCCAGCAGGTGATCCTGTTACAGCAGCATTCTCTCCACAGCCTGTACTGACAGCAGTTATGTCCCTTGTCCATTTATGAGCGTGACATTCCATGTTCAATGCAGCCCCCGCCATACAAATGAAAAATGCCATCCCTTAGAAGTCAACACTCGGCCGGGGCGGTGGTGGTACACGCCTTTAATCTCAGCACTCAGGAGGCAGAGCCAGGTGGATCTCTGTGAGTTCGAGGCCAGCCTGGTCTACAGAGCGAGATCCAGGACAGGCACAAAAAACTACACAGAGAAACCCTGTCTAGAAAAACCAAGAAGAAGAAGAAGAAGAAGAAGAAGAAGAAGAAGAAGAAGAAGAAGAAGAAGAAGAAGAAGAAGAAGAAGAAGAAGAAGAAGAAGAAGAAGAAGAAGAGGAGGAAGAAGAAGAAGAAGAAGAAGAAGAAGAAGAAGAAGAAGAAGAAGAAGAAGAAGAAGAAGAAGAAGAAGAAGAAGAAGAAGAAGAAGAAGAAGAACTTGGTACCCATGTACCATGAAGAAAGCCGTCTCCTTAGGAGAAGTTGGCACTTTGCACGTGTGTACCATGGCTCCAGCCTGGTCCCAGCAGCCTGTGCACCCAAGTTGAGTCAAAGCTCATGATAGCCTTGAGAAGGAGATCCCACACCACCGTATCACAGAGGAGTAAACCATAGCACCGTGCCTTTGACTTGCTCAAAGCCATGTAGCAATTAGGGGCATGGCATCAGGAGCTTCCTAAAGAAAGCTGTCTGTGTGGTTTTACTTGGATGATATTCTCCAGCTTGTGAAGGGTCAGGAGTGGCAGGGAACTGAAGAGGTTCTTGTGGAACCCTCAGTTGTATGCAGCACAGCAGACCCTGTTTCTCCCTCTGTATCATGCACAGTTTTCTCTCAGCATGCTGGGGACTTCCCAGAACCCCTTGTAGATACCAAAAAAAAAAATCCTTCTATAAATGATATCTGACGGTCCAGAAGCAGCAAGGAGAGACCCCCGTGTGCTGCCGTCAGCAGGCCTGAGGAGTCCCTTTAACCTTGTAGGGACCTCTTCTCAGGTAGACCCGGGTTCTCGACTATCACACCATGGAAAAGAAATTCAGGGCAAACCTGTATGATGAAGACTTGAAGTTAATTTGTTTACTTATTTATTCAAAACTTTACTGTGGAAAAAAAAAAAAACTTGCAAATGGGGCTGGAGAGGTGGGCTCAGCGGTTAAGAGCACTGACTGCTCTCCCAGGGGACCTGAGTTCAAGTCCAAGCACCCACATCAGGCAGTTCACAAATGCCTGTAACTCCAGCTCCAGAGGATATGATGCCCTCTTCTGGTCTCTAAAAGTATGTGGCATACACACAGATGCACACACACACACACACACACACACACACACACACACACACACACCCCAAAACAAAAACTTGCAAATAAAGAAGCTGTGCTGTAGGATAGTCAGACCAAAGTCTACCGCCTCAATGAATGTCTACAGCTAGCGTGGCCATTCTAAAGCTTCACGTTGGGGTTTTACACTTTCACTATCAATTATATTTTTATGCACTTATCCATCACAGATGAAAATATTGACAAATTAACAAAAGAGTTAAAACTAGAAAAACAATTAGGTTTAGCTCCTCCTTCATAACTCATGTGCCCATTACCTGGAAGAGCGAATCCTTAGGTGTCCTTTACATTGGGCACATGTTGGATCTTGTGGCTCAAGTTACATTAATCAAAGAGTGTGAGTTACAGTGTTTCAAGGTTAAGGAATATCCTTTCGTGAACAAAGATGTAAGGTGGATTTATGAAGTTTATTCTTTGGACCTGGGAATGTGGGAGGAATGCTGCAAGGTCAAGGTTACAGGCCGAGCCAGCTCTAGGAAGCACAGACCACCTGTAACATTGCTGAGGTGTCTTTAGGAAAGCACGGACCACCCTCTGCAGGCAGGGTTAGCTTTATCAGAGAGGTTCAGAGTTTTCCTGACTCTGTCAGCCAGGAAAACAATTTCCCAAGGGCATAGGGCTCTGCCCTCCCGTGTCCCCTCACTCCATCTTTCTTCCCTTCTTCAGTATCTGCATACACAGCCCCCTCTGTGCATTAACTCATCTCTAGATTTCTCACAATACTGAGGATATGGTAAATACTGTGTAAACAGCTGGTAGACTGTGCCGTTTAGAGAATCGGGTTTTCCTGGGTATTTCCACTCTGCGGCTGGTTGACTCCGTGGATAAGGCACTCAAGCAATTGACGGTGTCTCTGGAATGCTGTGAAATATGTTGGGCATAAGTATCTGACTTACTTTATTTCTTTGTTTTTATTTGTATGAGTGTTTTGCCCTACTGTGTCAGTGCACCGTGTACATGCAGTGCTCATGGAGGCCAGAAGAGGGCGTCAGGTCCTCTGGAGCTGGAGTCACAGATCATTGCGAGCCGTCACGTGGGTGCTGGAACCCAACCTGAGTCCTCTGGAAGAGCAAGCCAGTTCTCTTACCACAGAACCCCTCTTTCAAGTTCTCTGACATGTTTTTAAATTAATCTGGTGATCGTTTAGTTAAACAATTTGGCATCAGCTCCTCAGGAGTCTGATATGTCCGGGGCATTACCAAAACCAGGCACAGGTGGTATGCTCTTTGCCTTACCCAACAGTTATAACACTACAACCTGTCATGAGCACCCATGTGATTTTACCCCAAAAGTGGGCACTGCAGTGGGGTTTGCTCTAACTGTACACTGTCCTCTGTTGTCACTGCAGGGCTGTTAGAGCTCAAGGACTGAGACCTCTCACATAGAATGAGGTGCTTTCTGAGACCCACCTAGCAAACCTTGCTGGGGTGTGTTCGTCAGTCCCACACAGCTGACTCCCAGCATTCAGAATGAGCGAAGACCCAAGAACCATTTCTCTTTTGTTTTTCACGTACACACATAATTTCGTCATTGCTGTTTTTTTTCCTAGCTCAAAATATTTCACACTTTTGTTAACATGCTTCTTGGTATCCTGGAGTTGCTGGTGCTAATGGAGAATTTTTTTTTTTTCTTTTTCACTACGCGCTAGTAAATTCTGCCTTGTAGGAGGAAGTCAGCCTGCCCCAGTTAACACAGAGAAAGGTCCTCAGGCCCTGCTGAGAGTGGTCCCAGGATGGTGGTCTGGTTGCTGGATAGCTGCCTGCAAAACATGCATGCATTCTCAAGCAGGAGTTCATAGTCTGGGCTGCAGCGGGACAGGACAGTCACCTCCATCCCCGTAAATGGCCACTCCAGCAGGTCTAGTGTCTGGCCTAGCCTCTAGTCCAGCAAGAGTCTCTTAGAAAAGGCAGCCCTGGTTCATTTCATGGACCATGCCTTCTGTCTTTCAAAGATACCACGAGACCATGCAGTAGCTCTCTGCACACAGCCCCTTCCTCCAATGAGCTCCTCACCAAGAAAACAGAGCGATCTTCAGACAAGCCAGGCCAGCCCCTCTCCTACCTCTCCTACGACCACAGAAGGTTCCGCTTCAAGTTAGCTTCGTCAGGACCTGCTTCTCCCACTTCCTCTCCACCCCACTCGTCCCTCACTCACCCTGCACTGACACACTGACTTCCTGGCTGACTGCCCCTTCCAGCTTACACGCCATTCCTAAAGATCTCAGAACTGAAGGCCTCTGATCTCAGGAGGTCTCACCTAGAAGGTCACCTCCTCAGAGAAAACCTCCAGCCCTTTTCTTTCATGTCACTTGGTCTCATTTTTTTTTTTTTTTATCAGAGCACCTATGACTTCTCAGGATCTTCCCATCCACGAATGTTCCTTCCCCAGTGGGAAGACTCAGGCCACGCAGGCCTCATACACATACGATCCACCAAGCCTGGATTCCTCTCCAGTGGCCCCCGATCTGGAATTACAGCCAGGGCACCAGCCTGCTTCTTGAACAAGTGTTGGCATTTTGTTCCCAGCAGCTCCAGTAATCAGATGCTAGCCCCAGACCCCGTGATTCAGTCAGCAGCCTGAGAAGGCTGGGTCAGGAACACAGGGACCTTCTTTCTTCTGAAAGATAGCAGCGTTCCAAAGACTGGGGCCACAGATGAGGGCTGAGCAGCAGGCCTGAGAACTGACCTGTGTGCTGGAAGCCGACCCTCCCCTGCACCATGCCAACTGTGACATTTCACAAACCAGGCAATCGCCCAGCTTTACAAAGGAGGTGTTACTGAGCTCTGGGATCGCCATGTAACTAGTGCTGGGATGAAATTGGATTTCCCTTTTCAGAACAAAGACAAACACACTCCTCTGGGAAGCCCATCCTGGGAGAAGCTGCATGTATCAGAGGCCCCACTTCCGTGCCAAGCATTCAAAGCCCATTGCCCAGCCTGCTTGCTTCAGCCGTTCCTGGCAGAGTACACCGGAATTCTCCAGCTTTGAAATCTAATTGCCTACCATAGCCATGAAACCCATTTCCAAGGCAGAAAAAAGAAAATTGAAAAGAGAGAAAAAAAGGAAAATCAAAAGAAAGGCACATGGTTTGTGGGAGCAGTTCTCACGGAAGCAGCTAAGATGAGCCAGCTGAGCGTTTGACGCTCTGCCTTTGGGGGAGGCCAGTTTTATAAAACAGCCGCAGAAAGCAGGCGTGCAGAAGAGGAAAATCAAAAAAGACAGTTTCTGTCAGCAACAAGAAAATGGAAGTCACAGGCAAAACCAGGAAACCCTCTCCCTGGAGTTACCGTGATCTGCAGGATAATTGGGCCAAGCTCTCGCATCCGGGAGTGGACACTGATGGCCATGTCAGGTGGATTCATGCTTTTGTATTGTTCTCATTTCTAAGCAATGTACTTGTCACAGTGTTTTAACCTCTTCCCTGCAAGGGTGGGGGCTTCCCTCTATGTCTCCGTCAGACAAACGCAGCTACTCCAATGAGCCGCCCTCTCCTGCCGACAGTCCTCTTATCATGGGACTGGTCCACTCTGGGTGACCTTGTGTTTCTCTTGCTTTAAGAGAGCAGTTTCCTAGGGGAAGGGGAGGAGTAGGTGGGTGGATGGGGCAAAGCTGCTTGCTGATCCTCGTTTCCCATATTGCTCCCTCAGCCTCAACTTCTGAAAATACAGTAGGGCTTGTCCCAGATAACAAGGTTCCCAGGTTTCAGACAGCAGTCAGTGGCTGTTTCGGGCCCACAAGTTGTCTTGTGTCCATTTTGTTTGTAGGGCCTGCAGGAATCGCTTAGCTCTCTAACAATTTCAGGAGTCTGCCTGGCAAAAAGGACACTGTCTGCCAACATCTCCAGTTCAATGGTGACCAATGAGTTAGGGGACTCTGCCACTACAGCAGAGTACAAATCATCAGGCTTTGTTTGGAGGCTTGAAATGAAGAATGAGATCCTAAAATCATTTACAATAAAAATGAGCCCTGAGATTTAACTTTTAAAAGGTGAGTCATTTCTCAAATAAGTCAGAGGTGTGGGAAGTGACAACAGCCATTGATTGGCAGAATAAAAAGACATACTGTAAAACCACCATGGCCAGAATGAAGAGGCTCAAAGGACACACTACCCCCTCCACACGCACACATCCTGCTACCAGAAGATTGAGATAGTGGACCCCAAGAAATTGGAATTGCCCTGGGAGCCTCGGGCTGGGAAAGGAAAAGGCTGAGGCCCTGTGCCAGCCAGAGGGGGAGCTCGACCCCCAGAAGGCCACCTCACGCAGTTCGCCCAGTAGGAGCGATGGTGCAAAGACAGCAGTGGCTTGGTGGCAGGCAGGACCTCACCTTCGCTGGGACTGCTTAGCAACGCAGACCTCTGCTCTTTGTTGAAGCCAAAACTTCATCTCAAGACCCCAAAAGAGGGACTTGGGGGGCCACTTGACCTTTCTGTGTCTCTTCCTAATGTTACCACATTGGAAAACAACAACAACAACAACAAAAACCAAAAAACGCTTTCTCTGTTTTTCACTGTTGCCTGTCTCCTGAGAGCATGTCACTGGGCTCAGTACAGGGCTCCCAGGGCCCAGACTCTGTCCCTAACAACTCCAGTGGCAGCACTAGCTATCTGGCAGACACTAAGCACAGCATGCAGTCTGAGAGGGCCTCAGACCTGTTTGTCATTCCACTTCCCTCTCACCAGTGGCTCAGCCACCACCTCGGGTAAGGACAGCCCTCCTAGTTGGGGTACAGGCCAAAGGAAAACGGGGAAGAAAGAGGGGGGAAGTAGAGGTGAGGGCAGACGGCAGTTTTACAGCTAGTCTTTGATTTTTAAATCCTTGCTGTATCCCACTATATGCCTGCCCATGCTGGGTGTCCAGAGCAAAGTGTAACCCCGCCGCAACTCTTTCAGAGCTCGGAGATGATGGTAAGCGTTAAAACAAACCATTCAGTGTAAGAAGAGCGCGAAACCCAGGTGCCAGCAGGGGTGCTGGGAACAGGGGAGCTTGGGAGCAAATGTTAGCAGGACTAGGGCACTTCTGTGTGCTCGGTCCTAGGAAGAATTTTATGAGTCATCGAACTCCTCACGCAAGCCCAATGGAGCAGGTGCTCTGACAACCTCCTCACAGCTCAGATAGGGTGACATGGCCTTCCCAAGATCATGGGATGGACTCGTCATGGGAAAAAGCCCAGAGCCCATGGCCCAGCTGCATATAGTAATATTACCCTACTGGAAATAGTGGGTATCTCAGTTACATTTCTATTGCTGTGTTAAAACACCAAGTCTAAGGCAGTCTATAGAAGGAAGGGCTTGTGCTTAGGCTTCTGATCCCTGAGGGTTAGAGTTCATGATGGCAGAGCAACAGGAACAGCTAAGAGCTCACATCCCAAGCAGCAAGCAGGAGGCAGAAAGCATAGCAGGAACAGAAGGAGTCCTTTGAACCCTCTAAGCCCACTCCCATTGACATACTTCCTCCAGCACGGTCACACCTCCTAATCCTTCCCAAACAGTTCCACCAACTGGCAAACAAGGATTCAAACATATGAACCTATGAAGGCCATTTTCATCAACCCCCACAGTGGGCACAGGTCAGGCTGGCTGCCAACTCCTTGCTAGTCTGCTCCTGCCTCCTCTCTCAATCAGATTCACACCTACACACATGGATGCAGGATTCACAAATCAGCTGTCTCATCCGTGCCTTCTCTCAGGTAAGCACACACATATATTCACAGATGCACACCGGAATCCACACATTCTTGTACTTTTCCACACTCATAGCACTTATGCAGACTTCCTTCAACTGTATTCTCTCATATTCCCACTCTCTCATGCTGTCTCACACCTTTATGCACACCTGTACCCTTACACGTTCCCATACTCTCATACATCCCATACACTCTAACATCCCACAGACCTTCACACATTCACACACACACACACTCTCACACTCATACACATTCCCCCACACACAATCTCCCACTCATACACATTCCCACAACTCTAACAGTCCTACACTCTCAAACATTCCCATATACTCATACCCATTTCCCCATAATTTAATATTCCCACACACTCACACTCATTCTCACACACTCTCACACATTTCCACAAACACATTCCCATATAGCCCCATCCTCACAGTCTCTCACTCATACATACCCACACATACACATTTCCACTGCACACATTCTCTCTCACTCTCTCACTCTCTCTCACAACACACAAACACACATGCACACTCACACACATGCACATACTCACACATGCACACACTCACACACATGCACACACTCACACACATGCACACACTCATACACACATGCACATACACACACACACATACACACGGAGAGGCACACCCACCCACACCTCCACTACCTACCATTTTGTTCCCCGATGCTTAGATGACCCTCAAGCCCAAGTCTGACAAGCTTAACCACCTCCTTCCTTCCTGGTCTATATGCCCCATCAGGACCAACCTGACTCAGGCTGCCAGCCCTGCCCTTCCTCTTCATGTGTCCAAGTGGCCCAAGAAAGGCATTTGACCTGGTCCTTGAGTTCGTGAAGTGTTTGGTCAAAAGCAGAGGCACTGGGCTTTAGCACAGAAAGCTGCCTGCTGGTAGAAAGGCTTTGGGATATGGAATCCCCTGCCCTTGCCCTCTGTGATGCCTCGTTTCGGTACCTGTCCTCTAGGACACCCTGTCACAGAGGTACCACCAGCTCCAGGCACAGAAGCCAGACGCTGGCAGACCCTGGATCTGCCCGTTGTTCCCCGTAACTGCACCAGCTTCTTTTAATCTTTTAACATAGCTGGAGCCACCCACAGCAGCCACTTCTGCTGCTAACCTTGCCTGCTCTTCATGGCTGCTGTCATAGCCTCCCACGTCCCCACAGGAGCCAGAGTTCACCTTACCTCCACCGTCTCTGGTAGGGAAGCCAGTGAGACCTTTTGTTACAGGGAGCCCACCAGAAATGACCACTCAGACAGTCTATAGCTAACCGAAAGTCTTTATTCCAGCTGGCTGGAACTGCACTCGGGTATTTGGGACCCAAGTGTAGAGACAAGTGTTTAAGGTTAGGTGTTTCCAGAAGCCGAACCACATGCTGGTATCTCACTCAGCAGCTACAAGGGGATGTGTGTGTGTGCAAGCAGTCTAACAGAAGCTAAGTTAGCTGGAGAATCTTGACCTTGGATTCCTAGAATAGAGTTGGGTAATACTCCTCAGGATTCTCAATCAAGGAGACCAGATTCTAGTTACACCTGGAATGGCTTCAGCAAGAATACAAGATGGAGGAACCCCTGCACTGTCTTGCCCTGTCACATTTGGACTCTGAAAACCAGATCATGGGGCTCCCTGTTTAAATATCTTCCCTAAGGCTCCACCCAGACCTGCTGGCCTGATGACCCACTGCCACCCAGACTAGGTCAGCTGTTTCCCCCTTCCTGCCACATGACTCTTTTCCTCCCTAATGCTCAGCAGAGTTTGTGCGAGCTCTTGGTTCTGGATGACTTGATTTGTCCCTTGGAGCTTCAGCGGGTCAGGTGCTGCCATCACACCTCCCCGTTTCCCGTTCGTGGCCGACCTGCAGGAAATGTCTGCTGAGTGTCTGCGCCGGTGTGATACCACCAAGAGGTGTAGCAGTGATGGGACAGTAGAGTTGGCAAGGATAGAATTCTGGGGTGTCCGTGGTGCTGAATGATGAGGAGATCAGGAATGGAAGGACACTGCTGGCTGTGTCCCTGGGGTGGCTGGGGTACAGTGATTTTGCTCTGGGCTCAGCTCATTGCAGGGCCCCCTGTCTTCAGTAAGTTTGAGCTGCTGTTGAAATGAGCCCGTTCAAGGAAGGTTGGATGTTCAGGAGACACTGATGTCTCCCACCAAAAAGCCTGTTACCATTAGCCAGGCAGCAGTTTGGTACTGCCTATGTAGTGGCTGCCCAAGAGCTGCTCAGGAGCCTGTGAGGCCAGGAAGTTAACACAGTGGCCAACGCCCTCCTGGGCCCTAGAAGGCTTGGGGAGGCAGCTAAGAAATATGTCCGACAGGGGGACACTTCTGGGAATGGGTAAAGACAGTGTTGATGGCATGTTGGTGACAGCAGCTGCCAAGGAGACAGGAAAACTAGAAGATTCCATTCCTCTTAGCCATCAATTCCCTAGAGTAGGCATTGTTTCCTCTGCTTTTAAAAATTGACACATAATGGTTACACATATGTGCAGGGTACAGAGTAGTGTTTTGACACACGCACACAAGTGACAATCTGACTGGGGAACTGGGTGTGCCCATCACCTCCACTACAAATCATTTCTTTGTATTGGGCATGTTTAGAATTCTCCCTTCAGCTCTTTTATTACACACAACTAATTGATATCAAGTGCAAGTCTCTCCTGACCTACAGAACATTAAAAGGGGTTCCTTGGACCTAACTGCACACTTGTACTGGTCAACCACCCTCCTCCCATCCCTTCCTCCCCCCTTTATTTCCAGGCTTGGTAACTACTACAGTCAATGAGATCAGCTGACTTCGTTTTCACATGTAAGCGAAGACTTGTAGCATTTGTCTTTTGGTGCCTGACATAATGTTTCATTAACATAATGTCTTCCCAGGACCTACATTTATGTTGCAATGAATGACGATATTTCTTTCTTTATGGCTGACTAATATTGTATGGTGTACAGTTATACCGCAGCTTATCTGTTCATCTGTCTGTAGACACGGTGTTCACTCTCCATTACTGTAACACAATACTTGAGATAATCAACTTATAAAGAAAAAAATTGTTGTCTGGGCCTCATGGTTTTGGAGGCTTCAGCCCCTGATCAGCTGGTCTCATTGCTTTGGGCTTGTAGCAAGTCAACTCATCATTGTATGTAGTGTATGCTGGAGCAAAACTGCTCATCTGATGACCAGGAAGCAAGCAAGAAAGAATAGGGGGAAAAACCCAAGGGCTCCTCACAGCCCCTTTCAGGGCACGCTCAGTGACTGGAAGACCTCCGCTAGTTCTCCTGAAGGTTCCCCTATCTGCTGGAGACTAAGCTTTTACCACACAGAGCTTTGAGGCTCTGCTCTTGCGGCTGCCCTCCTGAAGGACCTGGGTTCTAGCTCTCTGCCCACCCACCATCTTGGTGGTAGCACTGACTTACATTACATGTATCTTCCTCCCCGACCCCTGAAAATCCCTTGGTCAGCATCTGAGAGATGCCAAAAATTATCAGAGAACCCTTCTGCTGTGGACCAGTTCCATGCTGGCAGACGTGGAAGGATGCTCAGAGGACTCTGGGACCACGGGGAGGTTCTGATCTTCTGGCCTGGTGGAGCTCAGTTCCTCCCAGAACTGGCATTAAGAACAGCGAGCAGCCAGTTCTCTCCATCTCTGCCCAGGTCTCCCCAGCCACCCAGGGCCAGCCTCTTTCTAGGTGGCAACCCCTGGAGACTCCAAGCTCACATCTTACTTGGGCTGCAAACGCCGTGACAAAGAAGCCTTTTCCTCAGAGCTCCAGAAGGCTAACGCAGAACTGGCTGACTGCACCACGTGTGAAGTGCTTCCTGTGTCTAAGCGAGGGGTGCTTCCACAAATTAACAAGTTTCTGGAAGAAGGGGGCCTGAATGCCAGCCACACGTGCACAGCGACTGTCCACCGTACTCCGCGAGCACATTTGCATAGCTGCTCTCCTTGCTGGACCCATACTGGGCCGAGCCCGCTTGCCTTCGCAGCCTCCTGGGCTTGGCAATATGCTTTATGCAGAAGCCCATTCAGCTACAGTCATCCCTCGGCAGCAAAATTCCTCCTCCTGTGACTACCCACATCTTCAGATGCTCAAGTCCTTCACATCAAATGCCACAGGATTTGTGTATAACCTAGGTAGATCTTACTACACACTTTAAACCATAATGTCGGTGCTATGGAAACACCTGTGTGGTGTCATTTAGGGAACAGTGAAGAAAAGCCCACACATGCTCACTGCAGGTGTGATTGTCATTATTTTCCACATGCACTTGGCTGAGTCCCTGGATGTGGAACCAGCAGACACCGGGGTCTGACTGGATACTAACTGGTGTTACTTCTGCTGGTAACCTGAGTGTATGTGTGTTCTCAAAGGGTTTTATCTCTTGATTTTTATCTCTCAAATAGACAAAAGCTCCCTTGAAGACAAAGCTGTATTCTCTTCATTTGGTGTCGTCTGTAGTCTACTACAGTACCACACACGCAATTTCTCCTTATCTTTTGACACTTTGGTCAATGTTGTGTGAAGAAGTGGGTTGGCCCCAAGGACTCTCCATCTCTTAGTAGGTGTGCCTGGAGTCAAGGAGGCATCTAGGCTTCAACTGATGAGGACCAAGAAGCATGTGTTAATAAGGAATTTGTTATCGAAAATTGGCTTTACCTGGGTGAGAGAAGGCCTGAGGCAGGGAATGGAGGAGCCATGGTGACTCCAGCCAGTTACTCCTGGAGACCAAGAAGTTTTCCAAAGGGGAGCTTGTGAGGGAACATCTGGGGATCTTTGGTCTCAACAGCTGCTGCAAGCGTCTTGGAGAGAAGAGCTGTACCTGAGGCAGACAGCACCAAAGGCTCTGGCCACTCTGCCTTGTCTGTGTCTCGTTGTCACTGTAAGGCTGGCCTCAAGGGGTGATGACTGCTGTCCTTTCTCCCTCCACATCCTGCTGCCCTCACCTGCTGACTAGCTTGGATCTGCAGCCATTCACCGGAGAAGATTCTGGACAATAAGGCTGCTGTGGGATGTCTTTCTGTATGCTGTGAATATGTGTGGCTCCCATTGGATAATAAATAAAGCTGTTTTGGACTATAGCAAGAAAGCTTACAGGCAGGTGGGAAATCCAAGCAGAGATACAGAGAGAAGGGCAGAGTCAGGGGAGACACCAAATCGCCATTCAAGGAGCAACATGTAATAGGACACAGGTAAAGCCACGGAACACATGGTGATACATAGATTAATAGTTATGGGTTGAGTTAAGTTATAAGAGCTAGCTAGCAAGAAACCTGAGCCATAGGTCATATAATTTGCAATTACTATTAAGCCTCTGAATGATTATTTTATAAGCAGCTTCGGGACCATGGGCCCGGCAGGACTGGAGAAACATGGGACTGGAGAAACTTACAGCTACACATGGCTCTAACTCCATTCAGTAAAAACTATAGTCCTTGCCGGGCAGTGGTGGCGCATGCCTTTAGTCCCAGCACTCGGGAGGCAGAGCCAGGCGGATCTCTGTGAGTTCGGGGCCAGCCTGGTCTACAGAGCGAGATCCAGGAAGGGCGCAAAGCTACACAGAGAAACTCTGTCTCGAAAAAAAAAAAAAAGCTATAGTCAAGTGGTGGGTCCCTCTGAGCCCCTGTTTTCTCCTCTTACAAAGTGGAGATGTGGGAGCTGGAGAGATGGCTCAGAGGTTAAAAGCACTAGCTGCTCTTCTAGAGGTCTTAAGTTCAATTCCCAGCACCCACATGGTGGCCCACAACCCTCTATAGTGAGATCTGATGTCCTCTTCTGGTGGGTGGGCATAAATGCAGGCAGAACACTATACATAATAAATAAATCACTAAAAGACAAAAAACAAAATGGAGAAGGGTTTGGTCTGGAATGAAATCTAGAACGGGCACTTGCTCACTGTTTGTCAGCCTTGTCACAGTCTTCATTACCCGAGGAACCTTCAGCTTTTCCCCCTAGGCACGGCAGTGTCTTTAAGAAGTTCCATCTCAGTCCCCATGGCTGTGGCCTCTGAGGGCGGCCATGACTAAATTTAAGTCTGGGGTTTTAAACAACATGAAGTAATGCCCCGTGGGAATGGCTTCATGTCTGCAGTGCTTTGGACATTTGCAGAACCGAGTTCCTTGGTGAGCAGGCCCATTTGGAGAACCTCCCTTGTCTCACCAGACCTGCTTCTGTGGTTACTCTGGGATGAGGATGGGGAAGGGGGAGTGAATCTTTGGCCTTCCAGGCACGGACCTAATTACCACCAGCAGTCTGGGGACCACGTTGCTTCCCTGGGGAGGCTGGATACCGTGACACTTGGCTTTCCCAGCAGAGAAGCTAGATGAATGTCTGCCAGGAAGCAATACCCATCCTGTGGCTTCAGAATCATCTGTTTTTCTGAGGACTGTGGAGCTATCTATCCCTTTAAGACTACTGAGCCTCCTGGGAAAAGGCAAGAGGGAGCAGCAAGCAGGAAGGGGCCCCCTGCTGCCTAGGGGATGGAGAGGACAGCAGGACTGACGTCAAGGCAATGCTGAGCACTCCAAAATAGCTTTGTCTAATGTGAAGGGAAACAGGGCAGCTCTCTGTGACTCTCTGAAGGCTGGAGAGGTTGGGGCCCAGTGGAAGGAACTCCTGTCCCTGCAGAGCCTGCGGCTAGGAGACAGGGCCAGCTTGAAGTCAGCCAGGTATCAGCAACGGCAGGACTTCACAGATTCGCCATTATCCAGTGCCCTAGGCTCTGTTATACAGGCCAGGGGGTAAAACTCAAAATGAGTGTAAGGCTGGTTGGTGCTAGAAAAAAATGAAATGAGTGTGGCATGTCCCTCACACTCTTGTGTGTTTGAACAATTGCTCCTCAGCTGGTTGAACTGTTGGGAGAAGTAGAACCTTTAGGAGGTGGGCACTTCCTGAAGGAAGTGGGTCATAGGGGGAAGGACGAGCCCAGAAGTCTGTAGTCTAGTCTTGCTCTGGCCCAGTCTGTACTTCAGGTCCCACTGGGATGTGAACAAGCAGGTGTCACCTGCTCCTGCTACCTCTGTAGAGCTGTGGGGAGACAAGGAAGTCCCAAGTGAATGTGACCAGTGCCTCAGATCCACGGAAACTGGCAAAGCCTTCCTCTGGTCCGTGTGTGAAAGCATGGAGGACGGCTTCCTCCTGGATGTCCACAGCCTGAGACTGCTCCCCTACAGAGACCTCTCACTGAGACTAGCTACTCCCCGCTCCTTGTGCTGTCCGCAATAAACGGGATGAGGTTCCAGGCTGTCATGTCGCTGGTGTTGCACCATCAGAGCAAGTACAACCCTCCTTACCCCAGCTTTTCGGTATGATTGTGTCTGAACTTTCTTCATCCCCTAACTACCCTGCCAAGTGTCCAGTGCCAAGCCACGCTGGACGTGGCATCATTTCTTTCCTCCCATATTGGACTGAATCCTTTCAAACTGTGAGCCCCAATAAACCCCTCTTCCTTTCAGTTGCTTCTTGTTGGGGATTTAGTCACAGTGATGAGAAAAGTAATGAACACAGAGAACAGGCACCAAGCACGTGGGCTGTTGCTCTAATACACCAGGGCATGTGCAGCTTAGGCCATGTTTGGACTTTGGGTTACAGCAGCTGTAGAATGCCATAAGCAGAGCTCAGTGGGCCATTCTGGTGGGAGTTTGGAAGACCAAAACACAGATAGATGCAGATAGTGGAGGGAGGGAGGCCCAGCTCATGAGGTTGCAGAGGGGACCAAGGACTCTACTGGAAGCTGGGCCAGAGGCCATTCATCTTATATTCTGGCAGAGTCTAGCTGCCTTCTGCCTGTGTTCTGGGAAGTTGAGTGAGGCTTTTCAATTCAGCAAGCCTTAATTACAGCCAGCCCCACTTCCTGTCTCCCCTCTGCTTCCTGTTCCACTGAGATGCGCGTGAGCAGCTCTATGCAGACATGTCTTCCCCCACTGCGAGCGACCATCTCCCTTCAGACTGTGAGCCAGAACAAGCCCCTCTTCCCCTAAGTCAGTGTCTGTCATGTTCTTAGTCACAGCAACAGGAAAAGTAAATGATGCACAATCCAAATTTAGAATATCGTGAGATCTCTGTATCCATGGGCTCTGTATTCCTGGACTCAAGCCACTGAGGATCATGAATATCAGAATATGAACATGCCAGACTTGATGAAGAAAAGCCTTCAACCCTACACAAGGGAATAAAGGTAACTGAGGAAAGTTGGGGGTGGGAGAAGTGGTCTTCCCCAAGGATAAGTACACAAATTAGTTGTTCATTGCCAAATGGTCATCCCTGAAAACATACTTTCAAGTAATTCTAGATGGACTGAGAAGGCTGTATTTAGTAATAAATATGCATATACAAATGTGTGTGTGTGTGTGTGTGTGTGTGCGTGTAATAACAATTAATGAAAAAAGAAGCCAGAAGAGGCTATTACAGAAGGGCATAAGAAGATGGGAAAACAGAGCTCTGACCTTGAAGCCAGTCACATCTAGGACAGGGACAGGTTTCTCCACGGGACTGTTCCCCCTCCTGGTGCGACACCACCTTGGTCCCAGATCAGGACAGTCACCCAGTGGGTGTCTTCTGTTTCTCATCACTGCCTGGAATGGGCTAGTGGCTACTGTCAGACTCTGTCAGAGACTTCATCTACCTGAAGATAAACATCAAGTGTGATCGGAAACGGGTGTGGCTGTCCATGGCCAGTCAGCCTGACAGAAGGAAAGGGGGAGACACTCAAGCTAAATAGTCCTGACTAGTCACGCCACAGGATGACAGACAAGGATCCTCTGCAGAGCATCTTAACTATGGTGGGGGTGGCGAGGGGAACATTTGGGAATATTTCTATCAGAACCAAGACAGTAACTGCATTCCTCCTATTGGAACTCCAAAAGTGGATAGTTCTCTTGCAATTCTGGGGACTATGCCTCCAGTGCAGATATTGTCTCCATCCTGCTTGCTTCCACTCAAACTAGGGACTTTGAAGACTTAGTACCTTGGAGTTATCAAAGAATCAGGCGACCTTGGGGAAACGTCACACCTGGCATCACACCCTTTAGGGTAGCCGAGTCTTCTTGGTGGCACAAGTTCTCTACTGGGTGCCACAGTCATCATCACCCTCTATTGCCCCACCCAGCCTCAAGCAGCTGTTCTAGCCTCTTCCTTAGATCTTTTGCTCTGGTGTCATGTGAAAGTCTCATCTGTACAAATTCAGAGCCGGGCTCTGAAATGCCTCTGTCACTTTGCCAAATGGCCCATCCTCCTGTCTCTGCCTTCCATCTTTAACTATTGGTAAATCAGTCTCCCCATGGTCATGCTGGCTCTGATATGAAGCTCTCCTGCTTCAGGACTTGGTGACCTGAGGAAAGCTGCTGTGGTCCCTGAGCCCTGTTTCTAAAGGACTAATATGTAGCTGCAAGTTTTTCTGGTTCCGCCCGGCTCCAGTGGCCCCACAGTCCTGCAGACGTTCAGACCCAAATGAGCACACAAAGCCTTATATTAATTACAAACTGTATGGCCTAATGGCTCAGGCTTCTCACTAGCTAGATCTTACATCTTAAATTAACACATTTCTCTAAATCTATACTTTGCCACGTGGCTTGTAGCTTACTGGTACCTTTACATCTTGCTTCTCCTGGTGGCAGCTGGCTGCATCTCCCTGCTCTGTCTTTCCCCTTCCTCTTTCTCTAGTCAGAATGTCCTGCCTAACCTTATTCTGCCTCACTATTGGCAATACAACTTTATTTATCAACCAATCAGAGCAACACATATTCACGGCATACAGAACGATATCACCCATCACTAATACAAGGTGGAATTTTATTCCTAGTGTCCTGATTGTTGGTTGTGGTTTTGTGACCTTGTAGGTTGACTGAGTTTCTATCACATAATGTCAGGGACACCCTGAGTAAGCTCGGAGGTCCAAATGTCCTTGCCTAAAAGGCTAACAGTTGGCACTGGCTGCCATCTGTTTATCTGAAGTTGTTAGCTGGGAGGCCCGTGACCTTTCACATGACTCTCTAAGAGCATGACAAGAGACGGCCAAGGTGAGGGAAACAGAAGCTGGATGGCTTTAAAGGCCCAGCCCCAAAGAACGTGACTTCCAGGACATTCTGTTGGTCACAACAGGTGTGAGTGTGCCACCCCAAGGGTGGCACCGTTCAAGGGCTGGGGTTCAGACTGAACATGAAGGAGAGAGTGGGGAGAACAGGCAGCAAATAGACTCTGCCTCCTGGAATGAACATAGAAAAATGCCATGGCTTGAGTGTGTCTCTCAAAGTGTGTGTGATAAAAGCGTGGTCATCTGAGGGGCTACGTGGGAGAGGGGGCCAAGAAGCAGCTTGAAGGAAGGAGGGCCGTCTGTTTGTGGGTTTGTTTGCTTGGCTCATAGACCGTGAGTGCAGTCTGCCGTGGTGGGGAAGGCTGGATGGCAGAAGCAGCTCGTCAGGCTGGGGATTCGGTCAGGAAGCACTGAGATGAGTGCTGATGTTCTCCCCACTCTCTCCTTCATGTTCAGTCTGAACCCCAGCCCTTGAACGGTGCCACCCACGGGTGGATCTTCAAACCTCAGCTAACTCAGTCTAGAAACTTCTACACAGACATGCGCAGAGGTTTGTCTTCCAGGTGACTCTTGAATCTGCCACACTAACAATCATGATTAACCATCACGAGGTATAATGGTAGGAACCCACATACAAGCAGACACTTATATTTGCTCTAAGGGATTATTAGAAAAAAGGTATTCGAGGAATACTAGGAGGGAGGGGTGGGGTTAAATGTCTGGGAGGCAGATGAAATTCGGCAGTTTCCTGTGATCACTGATCAGTTAAGTGATCCTACTAGCAGACTCTGTTAGTAGGGATTCTGTCAGCAGAAGAAAGGGTCAAGTCTGTCAAAAATCCAGTCGATTTTAAATCTTACCTATTTCCTAATGACTTAAGTTCAAGAGTTTAGAACCGGCTGTCCCGGCATCCAGAATTTCCTTAGCCATTCCTTCAATAGACCTCCAGAGGTTAATGGGCCTGACACATCTTTGACATTTATTAGCTTTTCCGAGGTAGTGGATCTGACTTTGAAAGCTGATCAGATGTTTCAAATCGGTAGCCACTTTGCAGAGCTGCCTTCGAAGAGAAATGTGATAAGGTCACCTTGAATGCCTGAGACCTGTGAGACCTGAGAGAAGATGCCACAATGGTAGAAATTGCAAAGTGATCAAGGTCTCTGCAGAGGACCCTCAGAAAGTCCTCTAGCCTGAATTGCTCTACCCACAGATTCTGTGATTCACATTCTCTCAGCCTCACCCTGTCTGAATAGCAAACACACTTTTAGTCTCTTTTGCTTAAAAAAAAAAAATACTCACTTCACTCATTCAACAACACTTGTGGAAAAGATGACCCCAAATAAACGAATATTTCCTGGCACAGAAAGCCTGGAGAAGATTATGACATTTCTCTTCCTCCCTACTAGCTTAGGGACTGGTGGGGGACTTCCCAGCATCCAAATGTAATGTGTCTCATGACAAGTCTGGCAGAGAGGACCATAAGAGTCTAAAAGAAGGGAAGATGAAGGCAAGCTGATTCTCTGGGGAGATTAAGGAACCCTCTGAAAGCTGGGGGTGTTCTAACTGGGTCCTGAAAGCCACACAGAAGCTCAACAGATACAGGAGAAGAAAAAGGACACCTGGGTTGGATATTCAGGGTAACATACAGGGATGTACAGAGATGCTGTTGTTGGGGGACACAAACAGCAAAAAGAAAAGCTTAAGACGTGGAAAGAACGTAGAAAAGATGCTCCTTGCTTTAGGGGTGGAAGTCATGAGACAGCTTTGCAGAAGGCAATTTGATAGCTGTTTACATTTAAGATGCACATGATGTTTACCTCTGAGGTCCCACCTTTGCGACTCAAGCCTATCCATATCAAAAACAAAAATACTAGTATCAAAGGCTACACTTGCATTACACTGATATTTAGAAGGATAGAAAAGACTGAATATCTATTTATGATGAGCTAGCTAATTAAGATGTGGGTTTCCACGGCGCTATAAGAAAATCCTAAGGCAAGTCCCAGGCACTGGCTGAGAGATGGTGGGCAATGTTGTCAAGGCCAGCTCCTTAGTCCTTCCCAGTTTCTGGCACATGACTCCTGACATCAGTGGCATCTTCGGTTATGAGTGGATTTTATATGCTGGTGAGATGGCCGGTGGCTGGCAACCCTTGGGTACCTCCAGGGTTGGAGGACTGGGGCTTTCATCCCCACCCCTCAACCTCCAGGGAGGCAAATGGGTTTGAAGGCTAAGTTGATGTCATCACCCAGTGATTTAGTCAGCCATGCCTATAAGCACCCAGAAAGGACAGTGCACATATCCTCCAAGTGGCAACCATGGGCGATCTCTAGGGAAGGCGTGGAAGCTTTTCACTCATCCACACTTACTTCCCTGGATATCTTCCCAGCAGGCTTTGAGAAGGCCAGGAAAATACCATGACAGGCTCCTCGTAACTCAGTTCAGAACTAGGCCTCAGTTCCTGCCTCTTGAAAGGAGGGGAAGAGCAGTTCTAGCCCGGGCCAAACTCCTCCCCCCACCGCAGGTAATAACCAAATACGGACATAACCTGGGTCTTGTCCAGACTTGCCCAAGAATGGACTTAGCCCCCCACCCCCAGCCCTAACCAATTAGAAATGTTATTAGTATGATTGCCACTCGCGTAAGTCAATCCTAGGTAGAAAGATCACACGGCTTTTAGAATTCCTTTAGTTGTGCATAAAAGAGCCTGCAAGCTTTTCTTAGGGGTCACCATTTCACCCTTTTGTTGGATGTGCGGGCCCCAGCATGCTGGCATTTTTACTCTTGAGATAACAAACGCCCTTGTTGATTACATACGTGGATGGTGGTCTTTTGTGGGACTTCTCAAGGACCCTAACAGTTTTCATCAGCGTCCTTTGTCATATCCTTTAAAATAAGCCAGTAAACATAAGTAGACATTTCCTTCCAGTTCCGTGAGCCACTGTAGCAAATTAATCCACCTGGAGAGAGAATGCTAACCTCTCTGATCTATAGCCAGACCTGTGGAATCATGGGTAAAAGAGCCTGGAGAATGTCATTGGCTTCAGAATGGGGGCCTGTGCCAACCACCGGTGAGACCCTAGAGTTTCTCCAGGTGGACATTGCCAAACTGAGTTGAATAAGGAGATACGGTAAGGAGCTGGGAGGACCGTTCTGCCAGCTCCTCTTCAGTGCTTTAGTAAGGACAATTATCAGCAGAGTCACAGGAAGGAAATATGAGGACTTGGAACAGTGGAGCCTC